CGAAGTAGTCAGATTTAGTCAGAAGAATTTTTTCTGGCAAAATCCTGAAAAGTGTCAAACTCAACTAAATTTAAATTAACGAAAATTAAAGAATACGCAAAAAGTGAGAATAATCTAAAAAGTAAAAAAAGTGAATTGAAATTGGAAGGAGGCAAAAAATAATTGATATAGTAAGTGTTTATTGTGCTTGTGCTTGTGTGAATGTGTTTTGTACATACATTTCCATTCTTATTTGACGTTAGCTTTGTTGTTGCCATTCTTTGGACTAAAAATTTGGTTTTTTGCGTTCCTTTACTTTTCCTGTTATTCTCTTTTAGTGAGCGCATTTTGCTTACGCTCTGGCATTTTGACACTTTTCAGATTTTAGTCCAAAAAGATAAGGAATGAACCTATTATTTTTCGGACCACGGCAATATGTCAAACTTTAAGCAACTTTAGTTTCGTTGTTTTCGTGGTATTGCCCTGTATGCAGCTCTCAAGAAAACGGCCAAGAAAAAATTTCCATTATTTCGGTTTTTTCGGAATTTTGACATTTTTGATACTTCACAGCCTGTTGCCTCACTCTTTCCTTAAGAAATAATGGAACGGGCATATATTTCTGTTGCAAACCTGGGTTGCCTTGTGCTCTTTTTTCACAAAAAACTTTAGGAAACCGTAGTAGAAAGAGTAGCAAATTTCTTAAGAACTGCGTACTGCCTCAAGAAAATTTTACACAAGAAAATTTCATGTACGTCATTTTGTATGGAATTTTTGCTTTTCTTGAGAACTGCATACAGGCCTTATAATTGGACGTCCTCTTCTACTATTTACATAATTTTAAACATTTACAATTTTATATGTCGTAACACGTCTTTTAGTTAAAATTTTCATAAAAATAATTTTAGCCGCCTAAATCGGCCAAATACCCCTATGTGCGTCAGTGCGTTGGCGCGGTGGGAGATATTCTCCAGTTGCCTCTCTGAACAGAAGCACTCCCAGATTTACATATACAAATGTACGTACATACATATGTACATATATATGTACGTATGTATGTATGTATGAACATATGTATGTATGCTTAAAAATTACTTTTGTTTCTGCTTACGATATCAAAAAGAATTTTTTGGAGCGGTGCACATGAGCAGTGAATGGAAAGTTAACAATAGCTAGCATAAAGAATCGTCGTGCTCGACACTACATATTAAATATGTACTTTAATTCTTAAAATAAAAAATGCTTAGCGCAAAGCAGCAAAATAGAACACACAGCAAAAATTTAGGAGTGCGTTTATATAATTAAATTTATTGACAGTAGTCCTTCGTTGCATGAGTTGATTTCTTCTGTATGTTTTTGGCTACGTACTATGAGTACATACATTCATACATATGTATGTACACATTCGGCTCGTATCCAGGGGGCACGGGTATCCACCTATGTATATACACCCCATACACATAAATACAACCAAATTTACATGCATACATATCTATATACATAAAACACATTTGTACATACATACATACATATGTACGTGATTCTCACCTACCACCGAACAACGTGTCGCGCAAGCTTAAAATACAAGTGACACCCGACTGGTATAAGGGAGCGGAGCGGTCAGTCGCACGAGTAGCTTAAGGGTGCAGTGCATGCGCCATTGTCTAGTCTTTAAGGGCAGCAAATTGGGGTGGGTGGTAGTGGGAGTAGGCGCAATTGTTGGTGGCTGCGCTGGTGTACTTCGCATTTCAGTTGCACGACTTCACACCACGTCGACAGTGGCGTTTGCTGAGAGCACCATCAATAACATAAACAACAGCAATAAAAGAAAGCAACCTACCGACCGGCCGCCCGATGCCTTTGCCGACGCATGGCAATATTGATTTTTCCACCTCTTCCAGTCGTTTTTCATACGCTTATATGCTGCGCCGTCTCTCAGTCTGTGGGGTGGTTCGTCGTTGTGTGGAAGTCTTTGAGTTTTGGTTGTCGGGCCAGTGCGTTTGCGTTAATGATTTGTGAAAAATGCTAAAACAATAGTGAAATGAAATTGTGCGCAGTTGAAACTTTTCAAGTAAGATTTTTAAAGAAACGTGCGATAAACCTCTGTTTACTACGCCTGTCTGCCTTCGTTACCAAAAAAACAAATAAAACCAACAGCGCGCGTATATCTATGTATGTATATACAAATATGTGTACGAGTATACATACTATGTACAGATGCAGAAATGTGTGTAGAGTCTGTTTTTACTTTTGCTTTGTTTAATTTCATCGATTTTTATCGGCGCTATTGTTTTTTACGAACGAACATTATATTTACGTATGCACATATGTATATACATACGTACATTCATACGAATAATTATGTATATACATACTGTCTCACATGCATACATACTATAAACATATGTCCATATCACTGTTATACTAAAAGACTGGCATAACTCAAAAACTAAATTTTCGTTATCTTAAAGCATAAACAGACGACAGCGTTGATCCGGATCAACTCGGGAATTAACTGCAGTTGATCCGGATTAAGTCCGAGTTAATCCGGATAAACGCTGCCGTCTGTTTAAGCTTTTATGCTTCATATTGTGTAAAATCTTGAACAGTTTCCGCGTGAGTAGAGAATATTAATCTTTATTTCTTTAATTTCGGGAGTGAATTGAAAACTTCGTTGAAAAATTCCGCTTTTGGCTTATGACATTTTTTTAGTAAATGTATGTATGTACAAGTACTTCCATATGTATGTACATACAAATGCATATACAAATGCATATACAAATGTATGTACATACAAATGCATATACAAATGTATGTACATATATGCTCAAACAAGTACAGGCATAAATACTTACATACATATGTATGTATGTACGTATTGTATTAACATAATTTGTGTAAAGTTTTCTGTTTGTTCTAAAGTGTGTTGTTTTTTATTGGTAACTAAGTGGCATTTTGTTGTTGTTTCCTTTGCCGTAAAGTAATCTACGCAAGCGCAAATGTTTATGTAATGAAGTTCCTCGCTGAGCATTGGCCTCATTCTCTTATCTGTGGTGTGCATACATACATATGTATGTTTAGTACATATTAAAATACTTTTTATGTCGTTGCTGAATAACAAAACGCGAACAAATTTTAGCAGCAGAATGCATATATTATACATAATATATAACATAAAATAAAACTAAAAGCAAAACAGTCTTCTTTTTAACATTTATAATAGTATGCTAGCAGACCCGACAGACGTCCTACATAAAATTAGTTACTTATCTACTGGATCATAAAAAAAATACTGTTCAGGAAATTTTTATTTAAAATGTAGTCATTCATAGCCAGTTTTACGAAAGTAATTTAAGTGAAAAAACATTTTTTTATTTGAATTTAATATGAAAAATGGCTGTTAGAGTTTAAACCTTTGCGCTCGATTGTCGGCATATCGCTCCCCAATTCACAGCTGCAATCGAGGTGTGTTAAACAAGGTGTGATTGACAAAAAATATAAACAAGTGATTCAAAATTCATAAAAAATTTTTTCAATTTAACTTTATAGGATGGTTATTCTTAGAGCAATGTCAAATTCAATCACTTTTTGTTGAATACATTTTAGGCCTGTATGCAGCTCTCAAGAAAAGCAAAAACTCCATATAAAATGACGTACAAGAAATGGCTATGAAGTTTTCTTATAATAATAATAATAATCCCAACGGTTCTTGAGTCAAATTTCCTTAAGGCAGTACGCAGTTCTTAAGGAATTTGCTCCGCTTTCTACTACGGTTGTCTAAAGTTTTTTGTGAAAAAAGAGCACAAGGCTACCCATGTTTGCAACAGAAATATATGCCCGTTCCATTATTTCTTGAGGAAAGAGTGAGACAACAGGCTGTGAAGTACCAAAAATGTCAAAATTCCTTGGACACACACACACGAAATAATGGCAATTTTTTCTAGACCGTTTTCTTGAGAGCTGCATACAGGGCATTTGGCTGCAATCAAAAAAGCCTGTAGTTTTAGTTCACCATGGGGGCAAACTGTATATACAACAAATAATGCTGTAAGAGAAACTTATGGCCCTATTATGTATGGCAACTGGTGTCTAGTTGCTAGTCTAGTAGCCGTGGCTACCACTATCGTACTTTGTATTATGTATAGCGATTTATCTCAGTGTACAGAAAAACGCAGACAACATCAGATTTTTTTTTTTGTTAAACGCATTGGAGCAAAGTCGTCAATTACTTTCAACGGTAATTTCTACCGACTTGAAACTTGCACTTTGTTTTACTAAGATTGAACGGGCTACAATACAAAACTGTACACTCAAAAATTTTCAAGAAATTCTGGATACAAATTTTGAAATTTTGATGAAAATTGTTTGACCTTTTGGGATTCTTATATAAAGTGTGAAACTTTGATTTATATGGTTTATGTTATAGAATGAACTATATTATCACAAATAATTAATGAAAAAAATTTCGCATGAAAATAATTGTGAATTTTATATTACAACAAGGTGTACACTTACATTTGACACCGACTGTATGTATATGGATTTATTTTTAGCACTTTTACACGTTTCATTTGCATCCACTGGGGCAAATTAAATTTTTTACAGGGTTTTTACATACCCAAAAATACGATAATACCGTATTTAAATTACTTTTAAATTTTTTCTTTATTTTTTCATAGCACACATAGAATTGCTTCCGGAAGTTCCCATACAAAATTGACATTTCAGCCGGCGAAAAGTCAAATCAAAATTTCACGAAAAAGTAAAACTGGAATAGATTTAGCTTTTAACGCACACCGTTAAATTTTGGTTAGTCCTATACAACTTGCATGTTTAGGAGAAATATTTCACAGAAAATTGACGGTTTGCGTGAGAATTAGTTTGGCCTTTAAGACTTCAAGCTTTGTTCAGATATGCTAAACCTGGTGAATTTCCTGTGCAACACTCCCAACCTTGCCTCAAAACTTGCTATGTGGCCTTACTGATTTTGATTTCTCCTGTAAGGCATCTATTCATTTTCCACTGCCCGCTCCACGCCTGTTTTTTTTTGCCAAAATTTGTTTAACACAAGTTAAGTTAGTTTTGTTGCACAACCATACCTAGGATGGTCTGCAATGTTATTAATGGTTGTAAAAGTCTATTTTAAGATATTATTGTATTACAATCCTAATTGCCTGCTAATACGTAATTTAGAAGCCTCATTGTTTTGTAGGGTTTGAATCTCCGTTCGTATGATACCTATTTTCTAGCGAATTTTACTAAAAATCGTGTAACAACCGTATAAAATCTTTAAAGTTGCATAAGCGTAGGTCTGGGTCAAAAGGCCTTCACGAAAACATGTCGATAAACGCACAAACCAATTTAGGGGGTTCGAGTTGGAATTGCCGTGCAATTTACAAATGCTTAAATTAAGCCTTTAACAAATCCAGAATTGTTTATTAAAATAAAACTGGTGGTCACAAAAAATTTTCTCATAAAGCTTTCAATACTTAAATACTTAAAAAAAATTAAAAATGTTTTGAGAACACAGAAGATAAAGAGATCTATAGTGAATTCCCCCATCAACAATTAAGTTGTTCTAACTAGGATCGCTAAAGTTGTATGTATAAACTTTTGGTCCATGTTGTATATAGTAGTCACATATTTTTCTTCAGATTTTTATTTTAAATATTTGTTTATAAAAATATATAATATTCTGCAACAAAAACCACATAAATCCACGTTTCAATCTTTGTGGAACATTAAAAAAAATCAACAAACTTTCGTAGAAATTTCTAGTTTTTTCATCTAATTTCAGTGCAATAAAGAGCAAGTTTCAAGTGGCTACAAAATACCGTTGATTTTTGGCAATTTTTTGTTGAGGATGTCAGTCATTTTCTTCCATACAAAGTACCCAGCAAAAAAACAAGATTACCACAGAAGTTAAAATGGAATCGAATTAGGCGATGGAAATCGCTTAGCCTTTCGCTTCAAGAAGGCATTATTTTAACATGGGCATGTAATTGGCGGTAAGCCCTTACCCGCAATATTACCTTCGAACGAAGGGAGAACGCATGGATAAATAGAATCCAGAGAAGCGAACAAAGAATGCCTTACAGAGAAACTACTGTAGAAAGCCTAGATAGGTACATACTTATGTACATATATTAAATTGAAAACAGAAAATACAGATTAAATGATTAAAATTTTTATAAATTAGTTTTTATACATACATACATATGTATGTGTTTAGGTATTTAGATCTTACTTAAAAATCGGTATGCACATTAGACTGTCCCAAGAATATATGGAAAAAAACTTGTTTGCAAATTTTGATATGATATTTGTGCTTTTTAGCCTAAATAGCATATATATGAAGTTTTATGGCCATAGGCTAACGATAACCCGTGCCGACTTTTAGTTAAAGTTTTAGTTAATAACTTGAACTAAGGCTGCCAAATCGTCCATGAAAACTTTGGAAATGCAAAAAATCGAAATGTTTCCCACATTTGAACGCATTTCTAGTAAATCTGCATCTTTAAATTTTTAAGAGGACGACAGGATTTCTCCTAAGGACATCGAAAAAAAATCTTAATCGAAAAGTATAGCGGCTTTTTAACGGTGTATTACAAGACTGCAAAACGATATGTTTTCTATTCGAATAATTTGTGTATGTCCTGAAGGATTGCAATTGTAGAACATTTTTTAATAGGTGTGACAGGGCGTATGATGAACATTAAATGATTAAATTTAACTTTAATTTAAATTTGTTTCCTCATTTAAAAAAATACCTTTCATAATACTAAATAATCAAAATAAATAGTTTTAGTCTTTGACATGTCCCCTCGGGTTGATATAATGGTTGTACTTCCGTATGACATAAAAAAAATTTAACTAAACCTAATTTTCATATCGTACTGATTTACAACAGTTGAACAGCCTGAAGGGACATATAAAATAAGAAAGCATATGATTTGGTTTATTTTCAGGAGATACACAAATTTTTCTACTAGAAAAGATACATACACATGTACGGCAGAATTTCTCGCAAGGACATCGAAAAAATTAATCAATGGAAAAAGCATAGTGGAT